ATTTTGTCATATGTGCGTTCAAGTGCGTGTTCAAGTAAGAGTGTGTTTCTGCTGGTTTGCATCCGCTGCTAGTGCTGATATAAAAGACAACAATTTTCAAGCTGATCAATAATGAGCAGAGGTTTCGTAATCATTAAGCCCAAACAAACTTTCGCCCTGTCTCTGTTTTGAAATCCTCTCTTCTCTCTCCCACAAATCTCTCTCTTTTCTACTTTTCTGCTTTATATCTTGTTTGATCTTGTCTCAGTTCTAACAAATGGCCGGTTAATGAGTTTGTTCAGTCACAGCCTTGAACGCCTGCCCTTCTCACATTGGTACACACACACAAACAAACACACACGCCGAACTAATTGTTTCCCCTTGGACACAAACATCAGACAAACAGAGTTTTGACAGAGACACAGAGAGCTCTGTGGTACGAGGAAATAGCAGCGAAGCCAAACAGAGATTGGGTGATTGATGCCAGTATGAAATGATGGGGAGGAGGAAGAAGAGACGAGCAGAGCTTTGATTTCCTTTGACCTACAGTCGAAAGCTAGGCCACACTGGCTCCTTTGGTGTCAGACTTAGATGTATTATAATTATTATATTATATATATTATATATATTATATATATATATTAATAACCAAAAAGAGCCTGGTTAAGGGTGTTATTTACCTCTGTTTACCTGCCTTATTTATCATATCTTTAGAGCAAAATATTTACATTTCGGAAATACACATAATCTGCTTTCTTGTTAAGAATTATAGGAGAAGCTTGATATCAAGATTGATATCCTGACTGTTATATGGAGGTGCTAGGAGGCAAACTACGTAACTTTTGGACAAGCCATACTAACTGTTTCTTTTCATTTCAATTCTTGATGCTAAGCTATGGACACTATGGACTCTGGACGTTGGCAAGAACGTCATATTAAGCATTCAGAGTATAATTTAATCTCTCTTGGCAATAAACTAAAATGTCAACCTTTTTCTTTACCTTGATTTGCAGATTATGATGCTTCACTAAAGGCAGAGCCATAAAGCAACACGTGAAAACATGAAACCTTGGCGTGTTTTTTTCAGTGTGTACAATAAAGGATATCGTTTCATAATAGTGATGTTTTGAAGGGGAGAGTATTTCTATGCTGTGAAGATACCAAGTCATTGACTGTGGCCTTGTGTATTATGGAAAGAAGATAGAGAAAGTAACCCTCACTCCTCAGCAAGATGCTTAGCTCCACAGTGCTTCACATATTTACATTTACATTTGAATGTTTATTCAGTTTGCTTGTTTCTTGAAACCAAATCAAACCTCCAATAACAAAGTCCTGTCTGTTTACAAGAACAGACAACCTACGATTTGCAGGTAGAGATAAATAAACGGGCATCATAGATTTTAGCACTGAGCAGAGGGTTTCAAGTTTCACTGCCTGGAATAATGCTGACAACATCATGGCATCACACGGTGAATGTGGTGGAGGGAAACAGAACAGGTTGTGAGTAAACAGGAGTAGTGTTTCTGAGCGATGCACACAGTGTAGTATCAGTGACCTGCCTTACCAGCAGGCATGATGTCACCTTGTTCGAAGTGTGATAAGACAAAAGGCCACGTGGAACCTCAGCTAGTTTGTTCTTTCTCTCTTTCTTTCTTACTTAGTTTCTGAAATCGTTTCTTTGTGGACATATTTGCTTCATTTTTGTACTAACGTGTTCACTCTAAGTTTTCTGTATTCTTAAGCTTCAAAGTCTCTTTCATTTTCACATCAATGCACAGTGTTTCTTTTGTCCCCTGACACCAAAGTCCATGATCTCCCTTCAATAAGACATTATGGCATACCATCATGCATGCATACATAAACCCATATGCTTATGTACACACTAGCAGATACCTTCCACACACTGGTGCACAAGGCAATAACTATGCACATGCATGCACAAACAGAGACAATGGTGGTCTGAGGAAGGGACAATAGAGGCTGTGTTAGCCTTAGCGAGAGTTGCTGTGCCTGGCTCTGTGGGAGTTAAATGGATTCCAGCCAGACTCACAGAAAGAAAGGTTTCAGAGCTGAGTTCACAATTTTACAACGTCTGTTTGGCCAAAACAACCCAACTTTCAAAGTCCGTTTCAGAGAACAGACGTGAACTTTGCACGTTCACTTGTACGATAAAAGTTTTTATTGAGTTATGATAACGATTACAACCATACATGCTCTCCTTCTCGTGTTTTATATCGCTTTCTCCCTGGCTTTTCTTATCAGTTTCTGTACAAGGTGCACACATCCTGGTTTATAGGCCTCACAAATGTGGAGCTTGCCATGACTTACTGCACGTACTCTTGCACGTGTTTTCCAGGATGGCAAAACATCATGATAACATGATTTGTGTCCCATTCTATTAATCCTGCAATACTAGATGAATTAGCATCCACCCTCATGAGTGTTGAGTGTGTTGGCAGCTTGTACTATGGGAGTACATCACCTTTTCTACATCCTATAGCCTACATCCCATAAATTCTTTTGATGCAAAGGTAACCTGTGCTAGGACTCTAACTACAATCTGCCATTACGCACTCTTTCCCTCGTTTTTCCTCCCTACATCCTCCTGTTTCTGTCTGCACAAACATCTACTCTCCTTTTCCTCTCTCCCCAACTCAGGCTTGACAGAAACAAGAAAATGTGGCTTTTGATAGATATGTGAGACAGAGTCTGCTCTGTCGGTCTTTCAGGCATCTGTCAATTAAATTCAGTCTGTCCGAATCCGTCTGATCCTCCTGACCCGCAGAGACCAAGCAGGCTGATCCCGGTTGGACTGTAATAACTATTCCTTCATTTGTGGAGACTTTAGTACACTGACATGTCTTTTAAGGACACAGGATCAGGGCTGAAATGTCTGGGGAAACTGTCCCAAATACAGTTTACACTGTCCTTTGTCCTCTGATACACCCAGGCAAACGTGCAGCCTTTATTTTCTCATCTGCTCAATTAACACTGTACTAACGGCACCACACCAGGATCCTTTAAGCTGTAATAGATTTCCGTAATGTTGTTTTTAAGTACGGCTTAGCCTACTGTCAGCGCTCTTAAACTATGGACAGAAAGATAGGTCAAGTCAGTCCCTACGGATGGACACAAGTTGAATATACTGTATGTATAGTATATATATATAAGCTCTTTCTTTTCATCCAATGTTTTCTTAAAGGGGTCAGACAGACAAGCAGTGCTAGTCATGTTTAGACTGCTGTATGTCCACACATTAGGTCATTCTTCGCAGAAAAGTCAACACCAATCGTAATAAAACATTGACAGTGCCAACAAGCACGCAGACGTAATTCAACAAGAGTCAAAAACACCTCGTTGCTCAACCCCGAAGCACTTGAACCCCACCCAAACACTCAGAAATAGACCACACAGTCCCGAGAGACAAATATCATCCAGAACGAGTGCTTTGGGTGTTTACCTAAGAAAACTGTGATTTCATTGACATTTTGAATTGAAAAACAACTCCTTTTTTCCATTTGAACATGACTACTTTTTTCTGTTTTTAGCTGTCATAATATGTATATAATTTTTTTTGACAACAGCTGCTCATGTACATTTTTCCGTATTCTGGCTGTCAATCATTCTGGTTCATGTGGCAGAGCAATAATTGGTGCTGTATTGGACTTCACTTAACCTCTTCAGACCAGCCAGCAGGCTATCTTAGTCCTTCACTTATTTAGTCCCCTCTCCTCTTTCACGGCTCCCTTCTTTCCAATCTGGTACTAGTGCCACTTATTTTGCATTTCTAATCTTACATTTTCTCTCCTCGTGTATCTCTTGAACCCAATCTACATATGTCTACCTAAATTACTCTCTCCCGTGGGTAAGAGACTCAGACTCTTCTCCCCAGCCCTGTACAGCAGATCTGCTCAGTGACACAGAGCTGTTTCTGTAACCCTCAAAAATAAATGTGGCTTTATCAGGACAGAGATCAGGTTACCCCCCTCCATCATCACCCTACCCCCCTTTCTACTCTCTCTTTCTCTCTCTATGTTTTTGCGTGTTTCTCTTTTAAGATCTCCACATTTCCTTGTAGCTTTGGAAATATATCCTTACTTACCTAATTCCCCCATTTTACTCCTGCCTTAAAATGTACCCTCATGCTCATTTCCTGCGGTCTCTGGTCCCTTGTGGACCGGAGCGCAGTAAAAGGAATGGCATAATTAGAATCACACACTCTTAATTGGCCCTTTCCCAGCGCCATTCATAACGACTCTATTTAAAATCCCACCCCTGTCAGGGTGCCGGCGTCTGCCTGTGTGTCACTGGAGGCAAAAGTGTGAAATTAAGCTCACCAGAATGCAGTTAAAGCAGTGAACTCTGGACACAATGTGTGAGAGTGTACTTGTGTGTGTTCCCAATATATGTGTGTGGAGTGCACTCATTAGCCAATGTCCTCTAATGAGAGCCACGGGTGGTTTAACACCTCGGCCCTAAAGATGGGGCCTGGCTGAATCCGGCCTGATTGTAATTATGGTCGTCAGTCTGGACAGACGACAGTGAATTAAGAGCCCTCTCTCTGTTCTGCAATTATAATTGTCACCACTGACCTATTGTATGTCTTTGGCCATTTCTCTGCCTTTCTTCCACAAAGACATGGAAGACACACAGCTGGAGATAGAATTTAACCAGCTGCCATTTTTAGTCTGGGAACAATTTCCAGTGGGCTCATGTGAGGAGTGGAGGCCAGAAATAAGGTGATGCAAAACAGCAGGGATTAGTCCCATGAATCTGTGTGTGTGTGTGTGTGTGTGTGTGTGTGTGTGTGTGTGTGTGTGTGTGTGTGTGTGTGTGTGTGTGTGTGTGTGTGTGTGTGTGTGTGTGTGTGTGTGTCT